TATATATATAAAACATGAATTTAATTATTTGTATAGTTTCATACAGAGCTCAAAAGGAAAACATATAACTTTAGTCTTTTTAAAAGTTGGACATATTTAAGCTTACCTATATGTATCTACAGTGCCGTGAAAAGGTTTTTGCCTCTTCCTGTTTTTTTTTTTCATTTTTAGCATATTTGTCTCACTTAAAAGATTCAGATCATCAAACAAATTTTTATATTACACAGATAAATACAAAAGAAAAATGATAAATACAAAAATACGAGTAAATACAAAATGCAGTTTTTAAATGATGATTTCATTAAGGGAAAAAGCTGTCCAAACCTACCTGGCCCTACATGAAAAATTAATTGCCCCCTCCTGTTAAATCATGAAAGAACTGTGATTAACCACATTATTTTAAAAAGCTGAGCTAAATTTCACTAGCCAAACCCAAGCCTGATTACTGCCAGACCTGTTGAATCAAGAAATCACTAAAATAGAACCTGTCTGACAAAATAAATTATGCTTAAAGAGCAACACATGCCGCGATCTAAAGAAATTCAAGAACAGATGAGAAACAAAATAGTTGACATGTATCAGTCTGGAAAGGGTTATAAAGCCATTTCTAAGGCTTTGGGACTCCAGCGAACCACGGTCAGAGCCATTATCCACAAATGGAGAAAACTTGGTACAGTGGTGAACCTTCCCAGGAGTGGCCGGCCTACCAAAATTACTCCAAGAGCGCAACGACGACTCATCCAGGAGGTCATAAAAGAACCCAGAACAACATCTAAAGAACTGCAGGCCTCACTTGCCTCAATTAAGGTCAGTGTTCATGATTCAACAATAAGAAAGAGACTGGGCAAAAACGGCATCCATGGGAGAGTTCCAAGGCAAAAGCCATTGTTGACCAAAAAGAACACAAAGGCTCGTCTCGCATTTGCCAAAAAAAATCTTGATTATCCCCAAGACTTTTGGGCAAATATCCTTTGGACTAATGCAGTCCACCTTTGAATGGCTCAAGAAAAACAAAATTAAGGTTTTGGAATGGCCAAATCAAAGTCTGGACTTAAATCCGATTGAGATGCTGTGGCACCTTAAACAGTCCTTTAATGCTCAAAGCCCTCCATTGTGGTTGAATTTAAACAATTCTGCAAAGAAAAGTGGGCCAAAATTCCTCCACAGCGATGTGAAAGACTCATTGCCAGTTATCGCAAACGCTTGATTGCAGTTGTTGCTGCAAAGGGTGGCACAACCAGTTATTAGATTTAGGGGGCAATTACTTTTTCACGTAGTCCCAGGCAGGTTTGGAGAGGTTTTTTCCCTTAATAAATGAAATCATTATTTCAAATCTGCATTTTGTATTTACTCAGGTTATCTTTGTGTAATATTAAAATTTGTTTGATGATCTGAATCTTTTAAGTGTGACGTATGCAAAAAATTTAAAAAAATCAAAAACCTTTTCACGGCACTGTATAACTGGAACACGGTTCACTGATGGTGCTGATGATCTGAATCAGAGAGAGAGTGATACAGAGCAGAGGATGCGAGAAACAGGATTAAGAACCGCTGCTTTAGAACATGGATTTTCAAACTTGTGAATCCATTAGAATCGTGATTCATATATGAATAGATTTTTTCGTGCACCCCTAGTTTTGACGGCATGGCAACAACTCTTCCTCTTCTCTAAAGCAGTGCAACATGGCCTCGCCCCTTTGTTGCATGTTCCCGGGGGCGGGGTTTATCGATGTTTGTGATGTCACAAACCCGGGAAGTAACTCGTTGTAGTCCCTATCAGCCATAATTGTAGGCATTAATCTGCCATAATTTTAAAAGACAATATCGCTGTTTGCATTGAACTTTAAGCATTGTAACTTTGCAGATATTGTTTATGCTCAAACAGCAACATTTCACACTAACTAAAGTTAAAAAAGTGAAATCACAATCCACCACCCCTTTCAGACCCTACCAATAGCAATCAACTAAAAGCAATTTAATGAATGGGAAAATATGTTGTCAAGGTGTATATGGCAAGGTAAAAGACCTAGGGTTTGTCTCAAAACATTGCAATTAGCAAAGAAAAGGGGGGGATGCTGCTTACCTTCTCTATGATACTTATGTAATCCAATTTATGAAGTCCAGTGGAAAAACACCTGAGGAGGAAATATCCTCCACTCCCATACAGGCTGTCCTAGCTGATAGTAACTTATAAAATCATATAAATGCTTTTGATAACCCATTGGCAAATTGTACTTTTAAAGTATGGAAAACTATCATAATATAAATTATACGGAAATATAGTGCTTCTCAAGCGGTGTGCATATGACTCCGATTTTATGCCAAATAGGTCAGATGCTAGATTAAAAAAAATATGAAGGAGCCAAGCATGTAGATTTGTTTAGAAAAGGACATAACTTGGATATTGATAGTAGAATTAATGAAGGATAACTATATCTGGAGGAAGAATAGAAAATAATCTGGCAATTTCAATGGAAGTGCACCATCACTATGTTGCTGTTTGCCGGAGAAATTGTGGGAATCAAAATGCAAATCATTAACATTTTCTGAAACCATCCAGTTATTAAAGATTTAGAAAGATACACAGTGCTCTGCAAGATGGAGGAAAGGTGATAACTATATACTGAAAATAAGACCAAATTACTAGGAAATGGTTGTCACAGGAGATCCTATCCATGGATGGAAATTACAATGGACATTTATAAAATGAAAAATATAATGGATTCTTTTTCTTTTTTATGTGCATAATTCTGATGAACAATATTCCTATTTGTATGGTAAATATTAACCCTCTGGGGTCTAAGGGTGTTTTGGGGCCCTGGAGAAATTTTGGCATGCCCTGACATTTCTGTTTTTTTTTTTTTCAGAATCTTAAAAAAATATTAATGGCTAAAGTCTGATAACACTGTATTTAGCACAAACTGGGCTACAATAATATGTGCGCAGTATGAAAGTACATGTTTGTGTTCTTGAGAAAACAATGTTTATGCGTGGTTAGTGAAAAACAAAATTTAAGTCACTGAAATAAGGCCGTAAAACACATACAGAATATTTGTTCACAAGACTTTTGAGAACTGGATGTGGTAGACTAGAGGTTTTTTTTATAAAACATTAAACACATCCTGGCGTTGTGAGACATTTAGACAATGAAATGACACATATTTCAAAATGTTTCACTTGATTTCATACAAGTAGTCAGGAATTATAGTTTTGGAAAAGTCTAACTAGTAAAATGTGAACAAGTTATGTCACAATAACAACAGATGCAAGTAATCTTAGGCTACTCATCAGAGTGATATCCTCCACTGGATCCAGCTGCGTGACGCATCGCGTTGTGTTCTTCCTCTTCTGAGGTAAATTCTGGGTTATTCCTCTCAGCGCGTCTTCTTCCAGAAACAAAAAGTAGCCCGGATGAACTTGTTTGTTTATGAGGCGGCGATGTGGGCATTTACATGCGCGTGTAAACGTATGTCTCACGTGGATGTTTAGAATTTGAAAAGCGCGATCGGCTCGTGGGCGTGTTAAACTTTATTCTTCTGAAATATTAAAAAGTATAGAGGGCCAGTTAACGGTTACAGTCCCAGCATAGAGTTGTTGTTTTAATTATTCAGGACTTCTACCCAGACCGCAGTTCCTATATTGACATTAGACATGTCACCCATCAAACAGCATCTGTACCGTGTTAAAGTAGCACTATGTAACTTTTGGCGCTCTAGCAGTTAATAAACAGAACCGCACACATCTCGCGGAAGAACATTCCTACCGGAGCTACTTCTCTAAGTTTATGTCTATGGCAATTCACGCAGGTATGTGTTACTCCACAGCAGTGACGACCCGACCAGGCTACAATAGTCCAAATAGAAGTACTTATTATAAGTGTACCGTAGTGATTCGGAATAAGACAAAAACGCGGTTTGGAAGATGAATTCATGATGTACTCTTGAACACAGAAAAAGTTACATAGTGCTGCTTTAATACCTGGAAGAGGGAAGCGATAAAGAAGGAGGTAGATTACTTGTCAACGCATGGACTCGTGGTGCCCAATGGTTCTGACCATATACTCTGGTGCTGAATCCAGTTTGTACAAGTTCTGTACAGATTACTGAAAGGTGGAAAGTGTCATCAATCCAAACTCTTTCCCGTTACCTAGGATGAAGTATTGTATTGATTGTGTTGCTGTCTTTTCCTTTGTAATGAAAGTAGACTTGTTTTTAAGGGTCTCACCAGTGCCACTGGTGTGCCTCAGACTTCGCCACATTTGTTACGCCGGATAACTTCCTAAAGTATATGGTTATAGTTTTCAGGATGAATAATGCTTCAGCTACTTTTCAGAGATCAATGCGGAAAGCATTATTAGCATAAACTTGTTTTCAGTTATTCCAAAGAATACAGTTAAAGGGGAAGCCAACACAAGGAGAGATTATATAGTTCTGAAGCAAGAAACAAGTGGTTATCCCAAGGATATACCAATTATTGATTATGTCTTTATACGCAAACAGCCATATGCTCTGATCTAACATCACTAGAGATGTAGCCACAATCAGATGTCAAAAGTAGTTAATTTGTAAGTTTAATAAGCTCAGTTTATGTATTATGATGGGGCTTAAATCCTTAAATGTGAATTTCTCTGCAAAACTGGACATAGTTCATTAGATTCCTTTTTTTCTGATATTTTAGACAAATGGTAGATTTGTCCTGGGCCAAACTGTGCTTGTTTTTGATAAAGGGTTTAATAACTGCGAGCATGAACGTTTTTGGGAGGTGTCCTAAACAAAGAAAAAGAGTTTACAATATTGATAAGAGTTTCTAAAATTATATGCATCACCTCCTTCAATTAGATTAGTGCAAATACTATCTAGCATACATGTTGGTTAAAGCAATAAGCCGCTTATTGCTTTTATAAAACGGTTATTCCATATATGTAGAGTTTCACAAAATAAAATAAAACAAATAAAATGGTATTAATAAAAACATTATTCTTCCGCCAAACAATGTAGTTCCTCAGAAACGGTTGTGGTTGCAACAAAGTGGTTGCCAAGCAACACACAGGTGTATGTTTGTAGAGTAATTTACAACAGCTTTGAACGCGGCTCAACCAATAAGAATCAAGGACCGGAACTATCCGTTTTATAATAATGTTTTGATGTCTGTTTCTTTGTGCTATTAAACTGGGCTAACTTTCATTTGTCTTTTATCACCATAGACCTCATGCCGCTGAAAGAGGAGTGCATAGTACCGAATGAAACGGAAGAGAAAGAACAATATGAGACTCTTAAAACCGGAGCAGAATCTTTCAGTTGGCCACAGATTAAAGAGACTTTCTCACAGAAAACAACTCATGAAACAGGAACTACAAGTTATTTCACCCCTTTTCACTGTGAAAAGAGTTTTGATGAACATGGAAACCTTAAAGTCCACATGAGAGTTCACACTGGAGGGAAGACATTCCCCTGCCAACAGTGTGGAAAAAGATTTACTCAAAATGTAAACCTTAACAGGCACATGAGAGTTCACACTGTTGACAAGCCTTACACCTGCCCTCAGTGTGGAAAGAGTTTTGATCAACATGGAAGCCTTAAAGTGCACATGAGAGTTCACACTGGAGAGAAGCCTTACACCTGCAAACAGTGTGGAGTCAGTTTCTCTCATGAAGGAAACCTTTACAGGCACATGAAAATTCACCCTGGAGACAAGCCTTACACCTGCCCTGAGTGTGGAAAGAGTTTCGATCATAATGGAAGCCTTAAAGTGCACATGAGAATTCACACTGGAGAGAAGCCATACTCTTGTCTTCAGTGTGGAAAGAGTTTCTATAATCAGGGAAACCTTAAAGTGCACATGAAAATTCACACTGGAGATAGTCCTTTTATCTGCCAACTGTGTGGAATGAGCTTCATTCATAAAGGATTCCTTAATAGACACATGAGAATTCACACTGGAGAAAAGCATAAACTGTGTCATCAGTGTGGAAAAGGTTTCAGCCGAAAAGGAAGCCTCAACAAACACATGAGAATTCACACTGGAGAAAAGCATTACTTGTGCCATCAGTGTGGAAAAAGTTTCAATCGAATAGGAACTCTTAACAGGCACATGCCAATTCACACAAGAGAAAAACTTTATACATGCCCTCAGTGTGGAGAGAGTTTCGATCTACATGAAAGCCTTAAAGCCCACATTGGAGTTCACATTGGAGAGAGTCCCTTCATCTGCCAACAGTGTGGAAAAAGTTTTACTCAAAAAGGAAACCTTAAAAGGCACATGAAAAAATTACACTGCATTTATTAAACACAAACTTGATCAACACATGAGGATTCGTTTGAGAGAACTGTTTTATGTCATCAGTGTGGAATGAGTTTCTCAGACAGGAATCATGTAATAACATTATTATATTATTATTATTACAGAAGTGAAGACCAATTCTTCCCACTGGTCGCTCTTTTGCAACTAACTTTCTCAGTTGGTCGCACGAGCACATGATTTGGTCGCAAAAAAAGTTTGCGCTACAAAATGGGATTAATCAATGCATGCTGATGAACTTTTATCATAGTTTATAGTTATATGGAAAGAAAAGTGGTTAACACTCAACCCGTTCTTTTTCATCAGTAGTATTATTTGTGATTTTAATTTTGTGAACGGGAGTTCCTTTTTTATGTTATGTTATAAGCTGGGCTTCATTTACTTTCACTTTCGAATTTGCGCGATATTGTTGTCACATTTTAAAAGATAAATTGTGTTGTCACACGAAAGATAATTGTCTGTTTTGCTTACATCTACACACCTTTCACTTTTTAAGACTAAAACAAAAGATGGATTCATTGTTATTCTTAATTTAAAGCACAACAACAGTAAAACGGTAAGATAGACTGACAAACTAGCTTAAAAAAATGTTTGTCAGTCCACATGCTGTATTATATACTGACTAATAAATTACAGAACGTTTAGCAAACACTGAGGAATCAGATAGCCTAAAAAAAATACAAGAGAGCCTTTATAGCGTAACGTGAGGTAAACCGCAAAGATAAGCGGTCTTTTACTTTAGCTTGAAAACCATCCATCGTTTCGCGTAATTTTTGCTGCGTGCAATTTTGCGCTCGCGCTAATGCGGCGAGTATAACCCAGGCTCTACACTCGAAGTGCTGCGCAGTTCAAACGAGTAGGGGCGCGGGAAGATGATTTAGGGAAGATGATTTAGGGGGCGGGGGAGTCAAAACTCCGGGAAACACAACAAGCATATCGCTGAGAACAAAAAAAAAATGCATGTGTGCATAGCCCATACACCAGGACATTTGACTGCACAAATATAAAACGTTTTTTCAGTACATCCATGAGATTTCCATGTTCCACTTTTAAGACGCATCTCACCTAGCCACAACCTACAGATCCCACAACACAAACATAACATTCACAAACACATAAACGCAAGCATAGGCAGTGCTGCGTGCATGGCAGAATGCGCGCAACGCGTGCATCAAGTATGCATCAGTTTAATAACTTTGATAACTTTAATTCTTACAACTGTTAAATTAATGGGCAACGGGTAAATATTTCAAAGAGTAGATAAAAATATCTACTAAAAAATTATCTAAAAAAACTAAATATTATAAACATTGGAGCAACCATAGAAATGTTTAAATGTATCTTTATTATAACAATTTTCTCTTACACAATTATTCACACTTCATTCAAAACACTTTTTTTTTTTTACACGTTTAAAAAGTATTTCATTGTTCTGGTATAAAGTACACAATACCTCAACACCCCAAATTTCTACAAACTTTGGTAAACAGTCCACCAGAGAGAAAGAGAGAGAGAGCAGATGGACTACAAGAACGCTAAAGTTTTACTCTACAACCGGTTCAATGCAAGTGACACGGTGTCATATATGTGAAAAAACAGTCAGCATCTAACCTTATGAAGATTTTGGCTTCGCTGTAACCGCGGAGGCGGGTTTAGCTGAAGAAGGGACGACGATAGCAGACTGGAGAGCAGGACCAATGTTGACAGGGCCGCTGGTGGTGGAGCTGGTCACGGAGTTGTTGGTAGTTGAATCATCCACACTTATCCTTGAAACTTCAATATTTTTAGAGCTTTTGAAAAACTCAGAAATTCTCTTTTGCGACATGCTCAAATTCACACTGCGCTTCGTGTGTCTAACTGAAATTACGTCCCCTCAAGGTAACCTTAAAGTTACGCGTTGTAATCGGCAACAACAAATCTGATTGGTTAATACACATCTTGATTTGATTTTAATAACTCAGAACTCAAACATAATCAAATCTCTTTTCATAGTTAAATCCCAAATATTCCATTATAAATATACAGTATATAATAATATACATATTTTTTTTATCCCCAACAGTAAACAGTTGCCCACAGAAAAAAACGGACTTCCTGCGCCTATGTAGCGTGGTTTCGTTATGCTTTCAGTTTCGTTTGCTGTTTAATGTTTCTCATAAGCGACAGAATTGCCGGCAGCCATATCACCCTGTAGCCCAAGACTGGTTACCCACTGAAGCTAAGCAGGGCTGAGCCTGGTCAGTACCTGGATGGGAGACCTCCTGGGAAAACTAGGTTGCTGCTGGAAGAGGTGTTAGTGAGGCCAGCAGGGGGTGCTCACCCTGTGGTATGTGTGGGTCCTAACACCCCAGTATAGTGACGG